GGGAGGACCTCTCATTCCTGCCACGTGGGTGCCTTGCACACCCCCTCTGGGAGGGCCTCTCATTCCTGCCACGTGGGTGCCTTGCACACCCCCTCTGGGAGGGCCTTTCTTCCCTTTGCTTCATTTTTTTTTTTTACCCTTTTCTGATAACCTTTCACAGATAAAGGGTTTTAAAATTGCAAATTATTCCTTACGGATATTGTAAATTTCCATATATGAAAGTGCAAGACTTAAGTCTTTGCTCTTCTCAAAATGAACAGCCACCAGGGCTCGCCTGCTGAGGGAGGCGGCACCTTTGATTATTTCTGCATCTGAAGAGCAGTGATCTGGGGCCGTGTGCTCCTCTGTGGCCACGCACAGCTCTGTCAGGGAAGTCCAGGGAGCCGTTCTCCACATGGCTCTGTTCCTGCGTCTGAGGCCAGGGTTGCCCTAGAGAGCTCAGGATCTGAATTGGAATCTCACTGAGCCAGACGCAGTTGGTGTGAGGGAGGAGCTCTGACCTTGTGTGACCTTGCTAAGCTGCTTGGCTTCTCTGAGAGTTGGTTAAAGGTCAGTCATAAAGATGTCTAGCTGTTAATCAAATGAGGCAAAATTCAAGAAAGATCTGTAAAGCAGCCAACAGCCGGCTTCAGCATCACTATCCACACTCCGCAGAGTAAGCTTTGCAAGCCCGCGGCTGCCAGACCAGCAGGGGCAGGGCTCCACCACCACTTCCTAATGGTCTCTCCTCACACAGGTGCGTGGTCTGGACGGGAGACGACCGGGTTTTCTTCTTCAACCCCACGATGCAGCTGTCAGTCTGGGAGAAGCCAACGGACCTGAAGAACCGCGGGGACCTCAACAGGATCATCGAGGACCCGCCCCACAAGCGCAAGCTGGAGGCCTCAGCAAGTAACTAGGAAGCGGGGTTTGGGGCCCACTTTGCAGTGTTTAAGCCATCTGTTTCTAACAATCATGAGATAAAGCAGGTTTTCTTGGTTATGTTGAAAATTGATTATCAAGGAATCGTGTGTACGATTACAGGATTTATTAATGAAGCTTTTACAGCAGTTTCTGCAGAAACCTGGAATCTTCCGGGTGGTTAGTGGCTGGCTGTCCTGTGCATCCTGTGAGGTGGTGTGATGCTCAGAAGGCCGCCCACTCCATCAGCCATTCACAGCTCCTTGGCAATGTCACTGTTACCCCCAGCATCTTATTCTCGTTCCCAGTGTCTTACCAGCTCCACTCGGGAGCCCAGCTGTACACAGTCAGGTATATTTCCTCCCACTTATAGGTTCACTGTAGACCTCTGGGCTGGATCGATATGTTGCCGCATTTGGAAACTGAATAAAATCCCACACTCAGAGAAGAAAGGTCCTCTTGGGTCGAGCAATGGGGTTCTTGGCAGAGCAGCTGTTTCTGATGATACTCTTATAAATCTTGTTTCACAAGAGTCAGAGAATTTCCAGCATTTTCAGGAAGGGTCCCTTCCAATTAGATCCTGTACCTCTTTTATGAGCTGATGGCTTGGGAAGCCCCACCCCCAAGCATATGGGTACATATAGCATTGACTCTGCTGGGGGCCTGCGGGGCAGGAGCACCCACTCAGCCAAGATGCGGAATGTGGTCTGTGGGGCCAGGCAGGGGGCTCAGGATCTCAAGACCTTGAGAACAGGTCTGTGTTTCAGTTCTGTAGGGTATTTTATTGGGTCTGTAATGATGTTTTCGATTCCCCAGCACCTAGGGCTAACAATATATGGTATCAGCCTGCACTTTGACGGGAACATTAGAAGACAGTATCATAAAGGTTCTCTTAACAGTTTCGACAGTACAGGGTTGCTCTTGCAAAGCTGCTACTAGTCTGGTAAGATTGAGACAAGTTTAGTAGGTTTATTTCACTTAAGATAATGATAACATTCTCCAGAGAGCTCCAGTCAACTGATTTGGGAAAAGGGAAAAAATGCCCTAGTGCATATTTAACTGAATCTGAAAAATGTTGCTGCATTCACGGATGATAAGGATTCATTTATGATTCTGCTTCCTCCTTTGATCAAGTGGCATTCATTATTAAAAACGATATTTTGCATCCTGAAAGAATGCTAGAAGAATCATTACAGAGAAGAATCTCTCGAGATTCGTACTCATGGACAAGAGCATCCTGCACAATTTAGGAAGATCAGGAGATCCTCGAATCCATGAGGAACATTAAGACACAGTTAATCTTAGCCATGATCTTATTTGCTTGGCAAAAGCCAAACAGGCAGGTGGGATCCTCCCTCCTTTCCTCTGCATGTGCTCTTATAGATAATTGGGTGCGGTTTCATTTTCCCCCCCAAAGAATCAAAAGGAATGAGAAAGAAATGAACTGATTAGAAGTCAAGGCACAGTTGCTCTCATTTCTGTTGTTTGGGCAAAATCAGGCCAGGTCTGCAGAGAACAAGGGATGTGTCTGCAGAGCACCCCACGGGGCGACCTGCTGCTCCAAGCTTGTGGGGGCTGACGGGGAGAAACCAGGGTTCCCCAGACTGTGCTGCTCCCACTATGCTGACAGGAGTCTCATTTCATACTTATGAAGGTGAAGCGTTGGGCCTTAACTCTAGCAAGCACAGCCAGAAACATCTGATTCATTCAGAGTTAACTTGTCACGGTACCTTCTCCTACATCACATTATTATGGTGGGTGGAACTGCCTCGGTAGACGTGTGATCACAGTATTACATGCAGTTGCAAAACGACTTTTAACCTTACCTCCCTCCTCTTATAAGAAGAGGGGGACGAGATGGTCTTAAACTACTTCCTTTTTTTTAACTTGAATCTTAAGAGTATGCCAGAGACCTCAATGCTCAACTTCTAGTTCCTGGGTATAATGGATATTTCGGACTGTAACTTCTAATTTCCCAAAGTCCACCAGAGAGTTTTACTGAAAAACAATCAGGACAGGAGGAGTTTCTGGAGGACTAATTAATGATAAGGGTCATAGTTAGTGACCTCCAGCCATCACCAGCAAAGTGGCATTTTCCCTGGCTGCCCGCTTGTGATGACCCATCGAAGGATTTAATGCTAATTATAATAACAAGCTCTAGGGGACATTGCTGCTGGTGGAGAATATTTTTTTTTCTCACATTTTGTTCAGCCAAGAGTCATTGTAGATTTGAATATACTAATACTTATTTCTTGTCTGAAATGAAAATATTAAGCATTTTAGTTGATATCTGTTATTTTGCAAGAAGCAAGTGAAATGAATTTTGTAAAGTGGCCACCACATTTACCTGCTGCTAGGCCTTAGTTGTGTGTGAGCGCGTGTGGTGAGGAGTTAGGGTGTGGAAGTATTAGCTAATAGTGTTAGACAGATGGTGGGGCGTGGGACGCAGAACTGCCAGGAGTACGGGGCCACCCGTCACTCGGCAGATGAGAGAGGAGCCTGCTGCTTCCACTGTTGGCAGCGCTGCTGTCCTGCCCTATCTTCCACTCACCGGGCCCCCAGCTTGTCCTGCCCTGTCCCCTGCTCACCCGGCCCCCTAGGCGTCCTGTGTCATCTCCTGCTCACCCTGCAGCACCCCCACTCTCTCCTGGCTGCAGCAGCTGTTTGGACAGTTGAGGCTAAAAGCCTGTTGCTCTAAAGTGAAAGAAGTACCAGGCATCCTGGAACCCCTCCCTTCCGCATCATGATGCTCCGGGATGCGGGACATGTCAGTTTGGAGGAAGCTCCCTGGCGACTCTCCACTGCTGGTTTTCAGGGCCCCTCAAACCTGTGGGATTCAGCAGCCCAGGCCTCTCGGTAGAGACCTTCTGGCCATGTAGGCAATGCACCTGCAGCTCCATCTGCCCTATGCTGAGAGGTTTGGTGCTGCCCGATGGGACGCATCTGACCATTAGATGTGGCTGGTGGGCTCCTCTTCTGGGGTGCAGGAAGGGAGGGGAGAAGGGACATAAATGTGCCTCCTGCCTTTCTGTCTCCTGCCAGCATCCCCGTGGCCAAGGAGGGTAGAAAGCCTGGGGTGTATGAACTGAGGGGGTGGGCGTCCTCCCTGCCACGGCATGAGGGCCTGTTGTTCAGCATGTAGCCCTGGCCTGGCTTTGTTTGCTCCACAGCCCTGTGAGATGATGCCATCAGGGCTGTACCCATTGCTACCGCACCAAACTACCACAAAATGGCTTAAAAGCACACAAATGGGTTATTTATTGCACAGCTCTGGAGGGTGGAGTCCCACGTAAGTCTCAGTGGCCAACCGGGCTCTTCCTCCTTGCCTCACCAGCATCTCACAGTCGCCTGATTTGCCTGGCTCAGGGCCCTTCCTCTGGCTTTAGTTCCCCCTCTGGCTCTGGCCTCTGCCTCTTCCCCACTGCCGAGGTCCCTGTGATCACGTGTGTGACACGGGACTGCCTCTCCTCCCAAGGTGAGTTTGCAGCAGCCTCAGCTCCCTGCACATACAGCCTAAGGGATTCACAGGCCCAGGGTGGGGACTGGACACTGCTGGGGCCACTGTGCTATGACCCAGGGTGGTTTTACTGAAGAGAATTCAATCACACACATCTAGCAAGCGAGGGGCTGGGATTTGCAGCCCAGGCTCTGACTCCAGAGCACAGGAGGAAGGGCACCCTGGCCCCATCTAAAGTACACATGGCAGCCAGGTGGCCTTCACACCAGTGGGAACAATGGGGTAGCCTTACACACTCACACTGGCTGGCCCCAGCCTGTGGTAGAGATGACATGGACTCCACTAGCTTCAGCTGCTCTGTGAACAGGCTGGACATTTTTATTCAAGATGAATGTAAATCGGTCCCAGCGTGCATTTCCCTGAGTAGAGTATAGGGAACCCCAGAGTAAACACAGCTGTAGAGGGAAACGGGTCACTTCACTTAGCAGGGTTTGGACAAATAGTGCACACAATTGCTAAATCAAGTGGATCCAGGTGGCCAGGGACACTCAGCAAGGCCTGGGGACACTGCAAGTGCAAATGCTGGATCTTACCAGGTGGGCAGGGCTCTCCGCAGGCGGGGCTTTCTGAGGGAGGGGCCATCCAGGGACGAGGCTCCCCAAGGGAGGGGCTTTCCAGAGGGGAAGACTCTGTCCAGAGTGGGAAACCTGTGTATTGTTCTTTCCAAGGGGTCTTAAGGTGACTTGTGAGGCCCTCCCCTGGGCTCTAGGAGGAACCTTGCCCTTCCACGGGACCTGGGTTCTGTGTCCTGCACACCTGCCAGCCTCCAGGGCTAAGCTTCCTCTCTGTACAATGGATGAACCTATAGCCTTTTACAAGAGGCAGTACCTGTGAGACTCCTGGTGGGATTTGGAAGTGGTCTGTGCAGGGGAAGGAATAGGGGGATGCATGGGCACTGGGGACATTCTAATGACACTCTGCGGATGCTGTAATTACACTCCCCTTTCAGCTTGCTGTGTTGAGTCTCAGCATCTCAGCATCTCAGCAGGGACTTGACGGGCAGGCAGAGGCCTCCCAGGCTCTGGGAACCCTGCTTAGTTAGCATTGATGTTGATGCAGAGACATGGTGGGGAGGCAGGAATAGCATCGTTCAGAGTAGTTTCCCTGAAGACTAATGTTCTAGCCCCGCCCACTGCCTGGCCCAGGACCAAAGGAAGGAGGGTAACTTCACCCTAAACCACTCATTTATTTATGTGATTGCTATGACTGACTAGCTGCTGAGCTCCACGTGGGGTGCCAAGGTTGAGCCCCTGCTGGGCAGGGGGGATGTGTCTGTGATGTGGGGGGCAGAGAGGACAGGGGCTGGGGCCAGATGGAGCTAAGTGAGTGCCTAGGGGTGCTCCTTGAAGAACGGTCACTCAGGCTGGACCACAGGAGATGTGGCTGAGCTGCAAGTCTGGAGGCCTGGGGGGTGCTGACAGTGAGCACCAGGACTAGGATGGTTCCCTAATTCCCAGAGTGTGGGTAGCACCGTAGTGCGGCATTTCTGGTGGGCCATGGGGACGTCCCCTGTGATGGTCACAGACCAAATGTAGAACTGAAATAACTTAGGAGACCTGGAAAAATAGAGTTGGACCCCCCACTTAGGTTAATTAATTGGTAATTTATTTCACCTGCTGCAGGGGCTGCTGCTCCGAGAGACAGTCAGCAGCCCAAGTGGGAGGGTGAGTTGCCTTTTATAGGCTTTGTGTAAGCATATTACAGAAGTGAAATGTAGCTGGTTAAGGAGGGGTTACAACTCAGGTAGTCATGGAACAATAATTAATAAAATTTTGGTTGACAATGGATACATCTCATATCACAATGGTTATGGTTATACAACAGTAATTAATCAAGTCTCGGTGAGTTTTCTACCATTGTTTGTCTACTGAGAACTTGGGGGTTTTGTGAAACTTGGGACTTTTCTTCCTTGTACCTGAAGCTTGTTCTTGGCAACCCTAGGGGTGAGGAGGGAGCCTGGGAACGTGGCTGGGAAGCACTGTTCTCAGCCACCCTGGGAGGAGGAGGGACTTGCCTTGTTCCCGATTCAACTCTTGGGGGGGGATAAGGGAGGAGGAGGGAAATGGACTGGAGAGGGCGAGGGGAACAGGTGAGGGTGGTGGTGGGGGTACAGGAATGGGCAGGGGAAAGAGGGCTGGGTTACAACAGAACTTCTGCTGCATTTCAGCTGGGCCCAGCTGTCCTGGGCTCATTGTTTGCCTAGACTCTGTGCTCATTCCATTTCTCTCACCTGTTGCATGTGAGCTGGGGATCCTGGGAAGACTGATTCTGGCCTCTATGGAGGCCTGGCTGGATCTGCTCCTGGGGAGGTGGGTTCGACCTGGACTCATCATACTTAGGGCCTCCCAGGCAGCATCTCTACCCCATCATTCCTGCGGCAGAATCACCTGATCCAGTCGGGGCTCCTGCTCTGCCCCCCATTCCTGGCTTCCCACCATGGAAAAGTCCTAACCCAGCCCTTTCAAAACATTCCCAGGGGCCTATGCCAATGCAGGAGGCCATAGTCATGGGAGAGCATGTCCTGCTGTGCAGGTGCTGGGTGTGAGTATCCCCCTGGTGGGGTCACCTGCTGCTGAAGCAGAGCTGGGGCCCCACCTGATTGACAGGTGTGAGCTGAGTGCCGTCATTCTGGGTGCCTGGGAAGTTCCCTGCCCTCCGCCCCCCTCTACCTTACAAGTCCTGGCCACCTCAGGGCCCAGGTGTATACTGCACACCTGGGAGCTCACCTGAATGCCAATTATCCATACACACTTAAACCTCGTTCCTAGGATTCTTCAGGGAGTTTAACCAGGGATTGTGCCTGCCCTCTCTAAGAAGATGGATGTAATTAGGCATAATCCCTCGCTCACAGGAAGGAAGACATCTGGGGCACAGCAACTGAGGGATTTTACCAGCCAATCCAGCTTCATGCTCTTGTTGGTAGATAAATGAAACAGCACATTTTACACTATTGAGGTGTTTGTCTATGTGTGTGTGTGTGTGTACACGTATATATAAGGTGTCTCAGAATTACAGTGAGGCTGCACCTGCTCTGCACAGGGCCTGTGGCACAGCTGGGCTCCTGTGGCACAGCTGGGCTCCTGTGGCACAGAGCCTCTCTTGGTCTCCCACGCCATCCCCATACTTCCTTCTCCCCCTGTCTAGACATGTGCGGACCCCATGAACCCTGCCCTCTGGTGACTTCTTGCCCAGGTGCTTGTTTGTTCTGACACAGACAAATAATGCATGAAGACTTTTATGTTTTCTTCAAAGAGCTTTATAATTCTTGCTCATAAATTTAGCTCTTTAATCCACTTTGAGTTAACTTTTGTATATAGGCTTTCTCAAGGATAATGTCTGCCATTTTTAAAAAATCAGTTGAGTGAGCCATGCTTCCCTATTTCTTTGTATGCTTTGAAATTTTTTTTTGTTGCAAACTAGACATTATTCATATTATAACAAAATGTGGCTTATCTAGAAATCAGATTCCCCTAAGTCACAAGGATTCTGAGTGAGGCTTTTTAGGGGCTGAATCATCATTTGTGACTTTCCCAAATTCCTTCTGTGCAGTGTGTATTTCTTGTTGTGTGTGGTTGCTGAAGTCTCTGCTCTACTGCCTGCGGTCAGGGAAGGATGGCAGCCTCTCCTCTCATCCTGCACTGCCCTTGTAGTTACAGCATCTGACCTGCTCCTACAGTCCTGGACTACTTGGTTCCCATCACCATCCTGCTCAGTGGTAGTTAGGGTGGAGGAGCTGATCCTGAGAGATCCCTTCTTCTTTATCCCTTCTGGTCCATTTTTAAAGTCAATCAGATTCATAAATATTTTCTATTTTTGGTTCTGGATTTTGTATCTCAATTAGGAAGGCTTTTTCAATGTTGAAAGTATTTAAAGCAAACAGATAAAAACAGTCTAAAAATAACCAATATTATATACATTTATTTTAAATAATATCTTTGTAATTGTGTGACATCTTTTTTTTTTTAATTGTAAGACATTTTGACGTGGCTGCTCGTGCCTCCCTGGAGTGTGTCCCATGACAAAGGGGGAGGAATCTTCCTCTCCATGATGCTTCAACTCTGTCTCCACCATTCTCATCACCTCCCACTTCATCTGCCTGAGAGACAAGTGGGTGACCAAAAAGTACCAAATCTTCTTTGAGACTGAGCAAGAACATCACCTCTTCTGGACATAGCAGGCAGGAGGCACAGATTTCAAACACCAAAGGCTCCAAATGGGAGCCAAGCTCTTAGTCTGGAAGAGGCTGAGACAGGGTCCCTGAGAGATGGCAGGAACGAGGGGCCAGCCGGGCCCAGCGACAGCCTGAGCCTCACATGGAAGCAGAGGCAGGGAAAGTGAGCCCCATGTGCTGCACTGGGTGCCCACAAGACAGGGCAGAAGGCCCATAGGTGGGGACAGGCAGGAGTGGCTCAGGGGAGATGCCCTCAGAGACCTGCATGGGGGCATTGTTGGAGCTGTGGAGGGACACCTGTAGGGAGCAGGGCAGAGAAGGATGGGCCAGGCCTTTAGTGTCCTTGACTATTGCAAATGATCTGTCATTCAGACCAGTGCCTCTCCACTGGGGTAGGTGATTTTAGCCTGCAGAAGGTTTGGCCATTTCTGGAGACATGTGGCTGTCACAAGTGGGAGGGAGCTACTGTAAGCACCCAGAGGGCCGGGGGCATGGCTCTCGCTGAATAGCCTGCCTTACAGGAGAAAGCATGGGACAGCCTGGACGGTGAGGGGTGACCCAGCCCCATGGTGGTGGCACTGAGGCTGAGCCCTCTATAGAGGGCCTGGGAACCTGCCTTGGGATGTGCCTGGGTACTGGCTCCACCGCCCTCCCTGGGCTTGGCCTTCCTGCCCCTTCCCACCCTGTACTGCCCAGCAAGAAGCCCCACCTCCCTCACCAGCATCACTTTGGAAAGGGGGGTACTGCCTATAAAGTCTCCTTTCTGGGGGATCCCCTGCATGGGTGCCTGAGGATGCCAGGCAGGCCTGGCAGAGCAGCCCCTCCAGGAGCCTGGCACCTGCATAGGAGCAGGGCCAGCAGAGCTGGGCTGGCCTCCAGAGCTGGACTGGCCTCCAGAGCCTGAGCCAAGTTTGGCCAGAGGCCCTGCATGGCACACTGGAGGCAAAGCTGTGTGTAGATTTGAACCGAGATCCGGTCTCAGAAGCATAAATGGGATTCCACACCCAATACACAGACTTGTCAGGTTTTATAAGACAAAAAGGTGTGGAGCATGGCTGGGATTGACAACCATCCGGACTGTTCCATTCACTAGGAGCAGAGTCTGTTCCCACCGCAGAGCCTGGGGGCGGGATGGGGCATGGGGGGAGTAAGCAGCTTCCGGATGGCAGGGCTAGGGCCTGGAGGACGCGCTGCCGTGCCCACCCACTGCCCACCCTGCCTCAACCCTAACGAGCACGTGGCTTGGAGCGGAGGTAGATGAAGAATGAGAAACCACACGAAGGGCCTCGCAAAGCCCAGGAGCATTTGGAAACCATTACGCCAGTCAAGAGAGAAGCCATAAAGCGCAAGGACCAGCTGTGTGCTCATTTTTCCTTTTTCTCTCCTGGAGACCAACTCAAAACACCAACATACCTTCTTATTTTATCATTCTAAAAGCTCCTCATACGTTTACAGGGCCAACCTCCTCAGGACAGAAGTAGGGACTGGTCTTTAGATCCATCTGGTGGGAGAAGTAGACGCATGGTCAGCAGAGTGCAGGCCACACGTAAAGGGAGTAGGGTCACCTGCTGAGAGCGAGCCCTTCACTGGGGCAGGGCAGCAAGCTGCCCGGGTCTTGTGGGGTTGCCTGTTTCCACGCCCTCACCCCCATGGACAAGGGGCTGCCCAGACAGATGCCCACCTTTGATTCCCCAGCCCCAGCCCCTCTGGGAGGCCTGGCCACCTGTAAAGGTGACCTCTCTACAGAAGAGCAATGGCTGATTTGTCTTCTGCTATAATATAAGAACAGTGGGAATTTGCACCAGGAGAAAACTGGTTATAGGATTTCCTACCAATCTTTAGAAGTCTGCTTTTTCTGTTTCCAGATGTGTCCTACTGAGAGTGAGTGCTGTGTGGTAGTCTTGCTCATGTTGACTACTGACATGCTGACCCCTTTACCCTGACTTTCTTTCAGCCCATTGCAGCGATGGGTCCAGTTCTGAAGACAGCATGGAGGAACAAGACGTGAAAACCAAGCGGAACCGGTAGGTGCCAACGTTCTTTCCTGGTGGGTCTTACCTGAGAGGCTACTGAGGTGGTGAGGAAGGAAAAGGCATCCTCTGACTGGATGAACATGGGCCAGAGAACTAGTTTACCTGCTAAGCAGGCAACGAGAGGTCTGGGTCCTGCCCTAGCCGCTGCCCGGGAACCATTGCGCCTCAGCAGCCCCAAGTTCCCTAGATGCTGTGCACAGAGCTGGTCCCCCCAGCCCACCCAAACACCGGCAAGTCTGCCTGGTTGCACTTCCCAAGCCCCGTAGGAGCAGCCAGGCTGGCCAGGGGCACGGACAACACTGTGTGCTGAGAAGGTGAATCTCTGCATGGTGCTCCAGCTCTGTGGGAGCAGCTGGGCTGGCCAGGGGTGTAGACACCACTGTGTGCTGAGAGAGTGAATCTCTGCATGGTGCTCCAGCTCTGTAGGAGCAGCTGGGCTGGCCAGGGGCGTGGACACCACTGTGTACTGAGAGGGTGAATCTCTGCATGGTGCTCCAGCTCTGT